TAAAGATATATTAGTTACAAAACACAAAAAAATCTTAGTTACCAAATAATTATACTACGAATACAATTCGAAACTAAGTCTGGATAAATTAAACGTAGGTTCGTATTAATTTTCAGATTATTCCATTTGATATATTTTTCAAAAATAAAAATAGATTGCTATAATTATACTACAAATACAATTTGTAACCAAGTCTGTATACATGCAACATAGTTTAATATTATTTTACAGATGATTCTATTAAATATATTTTTAAAAAATAAAAAGAGATTAATTTAAAAAAATAAAAAGAGATTAGTTACCAAATAATTATATTATGAATACAATTTAATACCAATTCTGGATACATTAAATGTAGATTAATATAATTTCTCAGATGATTTTATTTGATACATTTGTAAAAAAAAAAAAAAAAGATTAATTAATTACCAAAAATAAAGAGATTAGTTATCGAATGATTATATTACAAATACAATTCAAAACTAAATCTAGATACATTAAATGTATGTTACTATTATTTTAGATGATTCCATTTGATATATTTTGCAAAAAACAAAAAATTATTTACCAAAAAATATAAAGATTAGTTACCAAATCATTATATTACGAATACAATTCGAAATCAAGTCTTGATACATTAAACATATGCTAATATTATTTTTTAAATAGTTCCATCTGATATATTTTCCAAAAATAAAGAGTTTGGTTACAAAAAATAAAAAGAGATTAGCTAGCAAATAATTATACTACTTATGTATACAATTGGAATCAATTCCATATACATTAAACGCTGATTAACATGATTACATTTGAGATATTTTTCAAAAATAAAAGGAGATTATTTACTTAATATTATATTATGAATACAATTTGAACCAAATCCAGATACATTAAACTTAGGTTAATATTATTTCTCAAATGATTTCATTTGATATATTTTTTTCGAAAAAAAGAGTAGTTATCAGAAATAAAGGAGATTTAGTTATCAAATTATTATGTTATGAATAAAATTTGAAACTATGTCCGAACACATTAAATGTAAGTTATTATTAATATTTTTAGATGATTCCATTTGATGTATTTTTCAAAAACAAAAAGATTCGGATTACAAAAAATAAAAAGAGATCAGTACCAAATAATTTTTTTTATAATACAATTTAAAACCAGATATGGATTCGTTAAATGTAAGTTAATATTATTTTTCACATAATCCCGTATGATATATTTTTCACATAAAGAAGTTATGTTCTAATTTTCTCCTCTCTTTTCTTTCCCCTCTGTCCTCTATCTCTTCTCCTCTCCTTTCTTTTTTGTTTGAAAGGTATACACTGACCTCTCTCTCTGTAGGGTTGTAATTTTAGATCGATGTTTTTCATTTGTTGGTCAAAAAAGGAGTGTGATGGATTTCGATTGACATGGTAAGTTATACTTTTAATATTATTAACTCAATGTTTAGAGTGATTGTTAGAATTTTGTTTGATTTCTTAATTTTACCTGTATTGACTGAAGGTTAATTAAGTTATTCCAGTGTTGATGCTTGTGGACGACTTTTCATCTGATTTTTGATTAACAATGAGAAGCGTGGTCGTTAATTATAAAAGGCTCATCAATAAAAAAAAATCTACATGATTTTTTCCCTTTGTTTTGAACTGTTAACTCATCATTTTTTTCTTGCATTTTAAGCTTCGACATTATAAGGAAAAATTTGGTACTACTGACATACCTTTTCTTTTCTATACCGGAGGCATTATTTTTTAAACATGCATTATATTCTCCATGTTAAGGATTATTTCTATTATATGTCATTGGCAAATATTTATAAGTATGGGTAGTTTTATTTTTAAACAATCATGAGGGCCTTATTTTGGTATGCTTTTGCACCGTTGCTATTATTAAATTTCAATGGGTTGAGCTTAAAAATATTTATGTATCAATCTTGCTCTAAAAGAGCGATATAGACTAAAACAAAATTGCTCATGATCTAGAGTGTCAAGGTAAATATACTTTATTTGATATATCAATAGTTACACATATTTATTTTAAGTGCATAATTATATATGTTTTTTGGTTTTACAAGAGAAGTGTAGCACGATGATGACAGAAGATTAAAATAAGTACCTAAAAAACACTCATAACTAAGAAAAAAGTTTGACGAACATGGATATGTATTTGGAAATGATTTATTAGTTTTTTAAAAAGGTTTTTTCCCCCTATTTTTGTGTTTTATTTACTTTTGTTGGAATTTTCTTTTTCCATTTTGCTTTATGCCTAAAAAAGATTATTTATAATATTTGATTCAATTACTACAAGTAAACAATATATGCGTTTCAGTCAATAAATTTTTAGAATATACATGATTTAATTTCTATTATTGAAAATAACTTTTATATACTTATATCTCTAAACAAGTAGCATAGTAGACAGTTGATCATATTAATTCATATTTATTTTTTTGATATACTAACACTCCTAAACAAGAAGCATATTAGATAGTTGAAACATATAAATTTGTACTTTAAAAAATCCATACAAGTAAGTGGTAAAAGTATTGGACCAAGTAAACTACCATTTATGATTAAATCTGCGCATGGGCATGTAGTAATGATTGTTGGGAGAGTTTTGTCTTCCGAAAGAGACCTCTCCGATTCAAAGACGGATTAATTGGAACAATGACTTCGAACACTGGATAAACTATATACCAAAAACGGAAGGAAAAAAACATATGACATTCTTAATTTCGGGCTCCGAGTGCTTACTATATCAAAAAAAGGAAAAATAAAATATGACATTTTTTATAAGAAAATAATAATATATTAATGTTACTCTAAAATATATTAAAATCCGCACAACGTGCGGGCATAATACTAATTTTATATTATTGAAAAAAATGCATATATGCATGTGTGTGTTTTAAGGTTACCTTAATTTTTCTTTAATTCAGTTAGTTGTACCCTATAATATGCACCGTACACTATTTTTTTTTTTTTTTTTTTTTTTTTTTTTATATAATGTGGAAGCCTAATGGCTTAGATACAAAAGCATCCCTCTAATACTGGGATGTCTCGACAGCTTCACTTTCCAAAAGCTCTAAGATTTGGGATGGAGGTGTTGGCAAAACTTGCCTTCCATAAGGACACAAAAAGCCAAGTTTTGCCAACTCGTCCGCCACACGATTTTGACTTCTACTGGCATGAACTATAGTTACCTGCCATCTGAGGTTTAGCAAACCTCTGATTCTACAAAAGATATTACTATTTACAGTGACAATATCTGTATCCGATAAGAATTGGACCGCTGCTACGCTGTCCAACTCCAAAATGACATTACGAAAGCCGAGTTCCCAAGCAATTTGGAGGCCGAAATATGCCCCCCAAAATTCAGCTTCTAGCGTACTGCAGAATCCCAGATTTGCTGCAAATCCCATTATCCACTCACCATGACATGTTCTAAGAACTCCCCCCGCTGCTGATTTTTTCACGGTTTCGGACCTGGCCCCATCAGTATTTATTTTAACTGAGTTATGGGGTGGAGGGCGCCAGTGTTGTACTTACAAAAGGAGATGACTTCGGCCTTGACTCTGGGCAAAGATCCGGTTCGATCTAGTGATTTCCTTCACGGTCGCTTTTATGAGACATTTTAAGGAGCCTTCCTCCACAATCTCGTCCCCAAATACTTCCTTGTTCCTGGCAGTCCACAGTCTCCAGCACGTGATTGCGAACCATGTTGGCAAGCAAAGACCTTCCGCAAAAGCAGACGACTTCAAGTTACAGATAATCCATTCATTCCAATCCGAACCTAACCAAAAATCGGCGCCCAAGTTGTTGTTGCAGCCACGCCAAATCTCCTTGCTGCGGTAGCAGTCTCTGAAGAGGTGGAACAGGGGATTCCTCTTCTCCACATATATGACAGGCTGCGTCGTTTGTCAAATGTCTTCTCATCCTCTCCGAATTCACCCTTAGAGCCTTCCTGTATAATAGCCACAAGAAAATACGGACTCTCTCCGGACCACACCACTTCCAGATTAAGGTCCAGCCTCTATCTGCTTCTTCCCATCTCCCTTGCATAAGAAGCGTGTAAGCTGTTGTTGTTGAGAACCTCCCGGATTCAGTTAGCCCCCAGACGACATGGTCTTTGGTCGAGTTTCTTTGCGGTGGAGGGATTGCCCTTAATCTGTCTGTAATTTCCGGCGTCAAGAAAGGAGATATAAGACTCCAATTCCATGAACCCGACGGGGTTAACAATTCAGCCACTCGTTTTTTTTACTGTTTTTCAGATGGGATGAAATAAAAACAATCATAAGAAAAAACAATTAACGCCTCCCCTTTTGATGTTGGACTTCCATATGCGTTTCTAAAAAAGCCCACTTGGCCCAATTACTCGTCGTCGCAGTTTGTTTGACTACAAAGTTGACCATCACTGATTTTCAAACCAGAAAAGGTTCCGGCAAAAACTCCCCTTCCCCCCCACCTTTCGAGCTACCGTGCCCGGTGAGGTTTCTTCCCTCTCTCTTTCACTCCGTATTGGTTAGTGGTTAGTTTTCTGCTTAAAGATTGAACTTAAACGTCTTTAGAATTTCCTTCAGAATTGTGAAGAACTGATGTTACTACCTATGAATGTTTACATTTTAGGTTTACAAAATTGTTGTGTTTTTACCTCTTTTTATGAACTTGAATGCATACGGCACGTCTGGTGATTTGCCGAAGATGTTTTGCTTTTAAGCCTTAGATAACCAATTTTCTTAGGAAGTCTATAGATGTTTTGATTTTTTTTATTTGGGTGTTTTAAAAGTGTTCAGGTTTGTGAACCTAATCAACTAAAATCTCTGTTTCTTCCTAAACCCTTGCTTTGAAATGGGTGTCATTGTTCCTTGCTACTGTTAGTTCCACTACATTCTAGGTTGAGAAATGATTTTGTTTTTTTTTTTTTTTCTCTTTCTGTGGATTTTTTATTTATCAGGAGCGCGGCATCAAAGTATTATCTATAAATTCGTCCACCTGAAAATGGATCAACTGTCAAACTCTTTCTCTTTGCTTGAACTGGATGCAACGGATGATAAAGAACAGACAACAATAGTTGCAGCTGAGGAAGTGGGTGAGTGTGATCGACAAATTTAAACTTCACATTTTAATTGAAATCTAGGGAGAACCCAAGCTCCCGTTGCTTGACTTACTTCCAACTGATGGAACATGTTTTGACTGGCCCAAAACTGGATATTAGTGTTTCTAATTTTGATATTCATTCTGCCTCTATTATCACAATTATGTTTCTAAATTTTAACTTTAATTCATGTGCTGCGTAGTGTATCACCTCATTTATTGTACATCAATGTTTTTGGTAGTGTAGTTAATGGAAAGGAAAAACCTAAAGGGTCAGATGCCTCGGCGGATGAAACATCGGGTCAGCTTAGTTCAGGAGTGGCTTCTTCAGAGTACAAGATGCCACTGGTGTGGATTGACCTGGAAATGACTGGTGAGCTTGTAGCTCTTAGGTTATTGAGGAGTTATTGATTATTTTTGTTTTCATGTGAATAAAAAGGTATTGCCTGAATTGCATCCCATCTTGGTGGTGGACTTGTGTCCTTATTTCATCACCTACAATGATATGATGTACAAGACCTGTACTTACGTGGGGTCCAATTTGCCCACTTTTACAAACTTGGACCTCTCTTCCTACAAATTACTGAGCTTTGTACATTGTTATTTCGTACTAGTTGATTATGAGCTGTAGCGTCAAAAAGTAATCTTGTTTATTTAGGTGTTTGAGATCCGTTTTATTTAGAGTTCCTATTTTATTTAGGTTTTTGAGAGCCGTTTTAGTCTTTGAGTCAATGTGAGCAACTCTGTGGTTTCACTACAATCATCTATGAATTTTCTTTCCAGGTTTGTTGCTCTGGCATCTTCCTGCTGCACATACTCCTAATCACATTTTCCTAAATTTCATGTTTATTGCTTGGAGACATTAACGGAGCAGTTTTTCATTGGAAAAATATCCTCATTTTCTCGTTTTCACTCTTCCTCAAAGAAGCATTGATATGCTGACCCCTTGTTTCTTTCTCTCCATCCTCTTTAGTTACCTGGGTTTTTTTTAATAAAAATTTTTATTTTTATTTGCAGTGTTTGTCTCCTAAAACTCTCTGGTCAAGTTTTCAGTATCTGAATCAGTTCTTTCTGCAAACCCCGGACTGTGACTGTCATTCCATTGAATAGGTTTGAGCACATCCTCTAGGCAAGGCCTAGGAAGGATTTCTTTCTAAAATTATTATTAGAGCCTCCTATTTCGAAATTTGAAATGCGGCATTTTTCTTTTTTTTTTCAACTTGATGACTTTTTGGTTGCTTTCTTCTAGTGACAGAACCATTTTTCTGTCTTAGATATTTGATCTCAGTGATAGTACCTTTGGTTTTCTTCTTAATCTTTGTCTTTATTTTGGGAGGGCAAAATTTGTAACCTTCAATGATGATGGTTAACTAATATTTTATTTGTAGTGAACCAAACTGTTATGGGAAAGTAGTATTTACTTAGTTGTCATCAACCTGAAAGCTGATTTTTCTGCTGCCCAATATTTGCTATACATGTGCTTTTGAATAATAGTTAATCGTTTTCTTTGGCTGTAAATGTAGGTTTAAATGTTGAGAGCGACAGAATTTTGGAGATTGCTTGTGTAATTACAGATGGTAGTTTGACCAAATTAATTGAGGTAAGGTGGCTTTTATCGTTCTGTTGATCATGATCTCATTGCAAGTCCTGCTTTTGTGTGCTTGTTGCCTTTGCCTTCTATGTATTTGTTTATTTTGCTAAACTTCATGTTCATTCAAGTAACTACAACATCATACTTCTATGGACAAATGGTATGGTGTTGATTTGAAATCTGATTCCGTCTGCCTTTCAAGTTATGTATGCTGCCCATTGTGAAGTTAGCAAGACAAATAAAAGATTAGTTCTTTACAGGTTGGGATGTAATTGTACGAACTGACTTTTGTTTTTCCTTGTTTGAACTTATCTGTATTTGCTGCTTCTGATAGTGCTTTTTTTTTTTTTTTTTCTGTTGGGTTGGTTTGAAGTTGTTCTCTCTATCTTAATGTGAACCCCGGCTGCTGACTCACAACCTTGCCATATTGAATCAGTTGATGCTTCAATGTAATATGGTTAATAACAAATGAAGAATTTACTATCCATGACCTTTAAGTAACTAGCTGCTGTGCATAAGCAAATTATAATGAGATGTGTGTTCAGTTCATTTCCATCGTCCCTTGTGTAGGCCATGCCATCAAAACTTTATCCTTGCTCTCATGTTAACACCAAAACTTCCTTACTCATTTAGAACCAAATAGAATAGAAGAATACAGAGCTCTAGAACCTTTTCAAGTTGCTTTATTGTTTCCAAATGGACAAACATATCAGTATGATTTATTTTTATAATAAATGTTGGTTCCTTTATGTAGGGTCCTGATTTGGTTATTCACCAAAGTGAAGAGTGTTTGGAAAGCATGAATGAGTGGTGTCAAGAACATCATCCAGCAAGTGGTAAGCTGCAGTCGAAGTTTCTCTTTTCTGTGATCTAAATCATCAGTTTTATTCCTATTCCAATAGATACTCCATTTTGGTCTTGTATCTGTTTCAATCCCCAAATCCTTGGGCTATGAAAAGATTTCTTTCTGTGATGAAACCATGGAGTGAACTGACTATTTATGATGCAGGGTTGACTGAGAAGGTGCTCAACAGTACAATCACTGAACAAGAAGCTGAAGCCCGGGTATCATTCCTACTCCACTCATTTCCATTCATTACCACTTCTTTGCATAGGCGCATGTTACAGAAGATAATGCTTTGTTTTTTTAAGTTCTTTGTAGCATTTTCATTTTTCAGATTTATTGTGTAATTCATGTCATCTTGATGGTAGGTTGTGGAATTTGTGAGGAAACACGTGGGCACTTACACCCCTCTCCTTGCTGGGAACTCAGTTTACATGGATCTTTTGTTTTTGAAGGTATGGGGAACATTCTTGAGATTATAGAAAACTAATGCCGTGCATGAACATTGGTGGGTGTATGATAAGAGTTCTAGTAAGCTTTTTCTTCCTCCCACAATAATATGGGAAACTCACAACAAATTTAGACTGTTTATCTTGATGTATGTGATATGCATGGATCCAATATGTTTTTGACGAGGAAGGAAAGAAACGTATTGATGCATCAAATATGCTCAATAAATTTCTCCTCCAGCCTTGTTTACAGCATGACTTTTAGAGTTGACTGGAAGCAGATAAATCACTCTATGTTGTCTTTTGTAAATGCTTGGATCTGACTTGTTTGGTTGGATACTTTCTTATTCTACTACCTTCCTGTATTACATTTTTTTATGGATGATGTTGAATTCTTATATGAAGTGCTCTTCTGGCAGAAGTACATGCCTGAATTGGCAAGCCTTTTCTCTCATGTGCTTGTAGACGTTAGCAGTGTCAAAGCACTCTGCGTGCGTTGGTACCCTAAAGGTGATAGTACAATCTTGTGCCTTAACAGTCATGAAAGCAATTTGATAAGTTTTCTTCTGTTATTGTTAGATTCTTGGTTTTGAGTCTTTTTGACATGAGATTGCCTTGTTTTGAATAGATAACAAGAAGGCTCCTCAAAAGGAAAACAAGCACAGAGCTATGGATGACATCAAAGAAAGTATTGCTCAACTCAGATACTACAAGGAGAACATTTTCAAACCATTGAAGTCTATGAAGTAATGCAATATCCCGATGTCTCTGTGGGGGTTTTTTGGGTTCATACAGCAACGCAATGTAGTGTCTCTAAATATGAAATTATGTCCATTGAAGCCGTCGCAGTAGTTAGTTTCGGCACAGGTTGTTGACTCTCATGGCTTTAATATTCAAGCATCTAAAGCTGTTGGCAATAGGGGAAGCCTTTTGGTGCATTCATTTTGCTGTAATTACCATGGCTGTACTTCATGACTGGAAAGCTAAAGCTGTCACTTCCTTTTGTGCATCCTCAACTACATTCTCCTTTCATCGCTACTGGAAGCATGCCAAAAGAAATCTTTTACTACTTTCATCTCAGTCACCATGTTTTTTGAGTTATGCAACACGAAGTCCTATCTCTCTTTCCATAATTTTGGAAGCCAGATGCGTTCAGGCCGGGGCTCTTCTTTTTTTTCTTTCCCCCCTTTTGTAAACGACGAGTAAAACTCAGACCCAGGGGAGGACCTTAATTGGCAAACACTGCATAAAATTTTAGGGCCATTCGTCACCAATACTTGGCTACAGACCAAATTTTGGAGCCAAAAAGGATAGCAAAGGAACAATAGTTCCTAGTATGTAAAAATAGCAGTCCTCAGTTAACAATTCAAATATGTAGTGATTATCTAAGTTCAAGTTTCACCATCCCTCCTATGTTAACGTGCGCATTTGAAACATTAAAACCAGAACAGCAGACAGAAGGCGAGAGAATGTAACCACAATGTCGTCACGACACAAGACAGAAAGAGGTAGACAGTTTCTATAATTTCTCAGGCAAAATGAAGATGTATATCCTTTTTTCTCTTGCCGGGAGCTGAATCTTCATGATCTTTGTATAGCAGCAAAAGAGATCTAATCTCAGACATCAGTGTCACTGTTTGTCACCCAAAACAGTTTTGTGCACAGCTGAAAAATCCAGGTCCCCTAAGCCCTCGTTCCTGGCTTTCTTGAAGGCCTATATAAATCATGTTAATTTTATAAGGTTCGAGTTCCAACAGAGTAGAAAAGCAATGTGATCTATTATTGGACATTCCCAAACTCATAAAAATGGTGAAGAATTGCAGTTACCTCGTTAGCTGCAGCTGCAATGGGCATGGACACAGCATTTTCGTCCCCCAGGGCAAGAGCCAATCTCATGTCCTTCTGCTGATGTTTCAGAGGGAACGCGGGGGTATAATTACCCTGGATCATTGCAGGTCCCTTCATTTTGAACATTGGATTGGCAATGGCACCAAGTTCCTGCTCCAACAAATCACGAAGGGTGATAAGTTGAATATCCGATAACAGAAATGGGATAGATATCTGTAGTTCATTTTCCTACCAACACGTCAAGAAGAGTTTGAGAGCTCAGCCCACTGTTGTCTGCCAATACAAGCCCCTCTGAAAATGCATTCATCATACTGCATGCAGCATGAACGAAATACATATTAATACCAGTCCATCATATAGACTACCGTAAAATCTTCATGAAACCATGAACTACATGGGGACAAAGAAAGAAGCTCCGAGATAAAGTTATGGGCCATAAATTGAAAGGTTAGACCAACCAATGCCGTAAGCAAATAATATACTTCCTTAACTTTAGTTCCAGCAAAACAGCACAGGTATAGAGAAAATTAAATTGTCCCAGAAGCATCTATCATAAATCGCTCTAGAAGCAGTAGATAAAAATTACTGGTAAATCTTAAAGCAACTATTGATTACCTGCCCATGATCATGTTTACAACGAGTTTCATTTTTGCTCCATTTCCGACTTGGCCCAAGAAAAATGACTTCTTTCCCATGACATCAAAGGCAGGAATAGCTGCCTCGTACAATAACTACAAAGACATGATATAAATATCATAACATTACACGCAGACCCTTCATGAAATAAGGAATAAGTTTCTCAAGTTCATACTTTCACAACTCCCACCCCTCCACCCCTCTTCCCCTCCCCCCTCTTTTCTTTTGAGGCTTTACATATGTATCATTAAATAAACATTTTCTCGCATTCAGCTGAGAAACTATGAACAAATAAATCAGCCAATTATGAAGCAATATGCTAGCTTGTTCATGCATTACACAACTAAAACTAATGCACCATCATTCTGTTCAGTTATGGGACTGAATTGGATGGAAGGTCTCGGCAATTAAAATCTTACAGTCATTGCATGTTTTTTGTAACTTATTCAGGCAAAAATGACCCTCATATGGTCAATTTTTCATTTTCTCCACTCTCTCTAAGGATTATAAGAGAGTAAAAAGTAACAGGCAACATATAATATTCAGTTATGACTCAGCCCAGTAAACATGTTAACAGTGCATCATATTGATGAAACAAAAAAGCAGACCAGCATAGAGGTGCTAAACATGGAAAATGCACCTTCTCCCCAGCAGCAAGGATGACTAACTGACCATCTTCAGCAGGCTTCTTACTGCCTGAAACTGGGGCCTCGAGAAATTGACCACCCTTGGATGTAATAGCCTGAAAACATCAAAATCAAGCATACAACATGACCTCCAAATGCAAAGCATCAAAAGCAGCTTTATGAGACTAAAGTTGTATAATCTATGAGACCTCACTGATTTTTGAAGACGTGTCAGCATCAACAGTTGACATGTCAATATAACCTTTACCACTGCAAATTTGTTCAATAACACCGCCTTTGTCAAACACAACCTGGAGATCCATAAACACTAGACTTAGAAAAGTAATTGAAAATGGACCATTTTGTTTATTGATTGGGCTATCAATGTTAAACTTTACCGAGAGAGCTGCAGGGGGGTCGGACAACATTCCAATGGTGTACTTGCATTTCTTCACTACCGCTGCAGGGCTTTCTCCAACAGAGGCCCCATGCTCGACCAACTCATCGCACTGCATATCAACAAATGGGAAGAAAAAAAGGTGAAGGCGTACACATAAAACTCATGTTTTTCTTGGCTTTTATATGCCAGTTTCAACTCACAGAGCTATTACTTTTTACCAATGCTTTAAGAAACAAAAAAACAAAAACAAAACAAGATGGCACATAATTCCCTTCTCCAAAATAAGAAAAACTCAGAATTCAAGAAGCGACATCTATAAATACATAGCTAATTGGCTCTGTTGTCAATAAGGAGCTCTACATGGGATGCTATTTCTCCGTGCGGAGTGATATTGGAAGTATCTTGGATGAGATTTGACTTAAATAGTGATTCACACATCCTACCTACATATGCTCTTCAAAGAAATAATCCTATTTCTTCAATCAGAGACTTTGATCCTTTAGACAAATGAATTCTAGGAACCACCAGGCTATGAACACATAAAACCTATATAGAAAAAAGAAAGTTGAGGACCAAACTGAGCCAGAGTCTCAAATCCGTTTCTGAAAGATACAAAGACCACTCCACATTCTTTCATCACTACAATCATTAGAAAGCTCATTTCACTGTTTCAGTTATCAGTCTACAGTTCTTCACGTTCCAAACAGTTATACATAAACAAAACCTCCACCCCTAAAGAAAATCTTTAGTTCCAAACCAAGAAATAAAAACACTCGCCACTAAAATGCAAGATAAAAAAACACACCAATATCTAGAGAGTGAGAAAGGGAGAGTACCCTGGAGAGAGTGCGATTCCAAACAGTGACCTTAAATCCATGGCGCAGCAGGTTCATCGCCATAGCCTTACCCATTATACCCATCCCCAAGAACCCGATTTCCTCCATCGATCTTTTTCAAACTTTCACCTTACCAAATTCACTCAAAAGGAGTTCCACAAGAATCCGCACCAATACAAACTCTAATCAGCCCAATAGTAGTGTTAAAAATGGTTTCTTTATTATATTATCCACTAGAGTACAGATTAGTGGCCTAATATAAAAATGCTTCTGCTCTTTTCAATCCCAACTTCATATGGATGCAGGGAAAGCAAAAGGGATGACAATGACGCTCTAAAATTAATGCCCAAATGAGTTGTTTTAGTGAGCAATACTACAAATCAATAAAGCTCTTATCTTCAGATTTAAAATCCTATTATTTTCTTCTTTTCTGGGTACTAAAAGTTTCCTTAGCAGATCAAACTTGATAATATCATAATATTACTGTCTTACGTTATTGTCGGGTTGCGGATTTTCGATGATCGGAGATGGCTGGGAAAATTTTTATTTGTTTGGACCACGTCAGCAGAGTGTTTCTTCCACTCGTTTTTTTTTTTTTTCCCTGTCCTTTGATTTGATTCCACTGTTATGGGAGCTTGAGGCCAATGAGGATTTTCTGTTGCTGATGATAATTGGGGCAACCGTAAAGGTAGTTTTGTAGGCTGAAGCCCGTGGGTTGTTGGACTTGAGCCTTTTCGTAATCCATTAAATGCATCTGTGATTTTCTCATATGGGCCAACTTTAGAGAGGTTTTGGTTCCATTCACAGAAAAGTTGACTTTCGAGGTGGCGAGGGAAATGTTCTAGTACGTCCTAAGATTGAATAACACACGATCCCCTGTGATGGATGTTTCGGCAGAATATAAAGAGTGATGATAATTGATAAGGAAATTTATAGCGAAGTGGTTGAATCTTAGTTATCCTTTAACTTTTAAATAAATAAATTATTAAAAGAAAGTTATAAGTATGGATAATTATGATTTATAAGAGAGTTTTACCCACATTTAAGTGGGGTTCACTGTGATGGATTAAAAAAACAGTTATATATTTCTGAAATCCCAAATACACAAACTTATAAGTATATATTTATATTGTTTTTAGTGCACATTCAAAACTTAAATATGGACTATTTTTTTGAGAGGGGTGGAGTAATAAATAGTAAATTATACTAATTTACATTTTGATGTGCCATCCTTACGTATGATTGTAGAAAAAGAATTGTCAAAGTTTGTTTGGTCGTACATAATCTCAAATTGGACAATAATTTTGAGACAAATGGAGTAGTATAATGTTGTGGTAACTCAAAAAGGAAATTTTGATTTTTGTTTAGGTGACGAGACGAGAGTATAATTATATTTGATTGTTTGTTCGGTGGCTACAAGCCTAAAAGAGATATGTCCCGAAAAAGTAAAATAGATTTCCCATCTCAATTTCCTTGTACCAAATGATGTTTATGAGGATTTGATTGGAATTGAAATTGCCTTTGAAACAACGCTAATTAGAAAAAGCGACAAATCGAAATGTGATGAATTACAGGAGTTGTGGTCGCAGAAATAATAAATGAATAGGACGTATAATACGTACTGTTTTATCAATCTGTATTTTGTCTGGTCTAAAATTGTTAATTTTATACTTTTTCCGTCTCAAAAGAAATAGTTTACGTTGAGTTTTGAGTTTCATACTGTTTTTAGTATAAATTTAAAAACTTAATGTGGACAATTTTTGTGAGACGGAGGTAGTAGTTTATAAAGGGACCATTTTGTTTAACCATAATGATTTTGGTGTGAACTGCTACTAGGATTGCAACCTACTATTAATTGGCATGTTTTCAGCGAGAGCGCCTCCTTGGCAACTCTTCCGAATTATACATCTTCTTTATTAATGCGGGTTGCATTTTCTGGACTAAACTTAATTCAAAATTCTGTCATACTCTTGTACATCAGAAGCAGAAACAGTGGTATACGTACGATGTAGTTAAACATGATCAATTCAACAACAGCAGTACAAAATGAGGGAACACTGCCGGATGTATGAAGAAACAGTTTTCCCAATTTGATTCTTCTGGTATATGAATTTTGTCACATCTTCCCTTCTCCGTCGTCGTCCTGCATCCTTCCCACAGCAAATAGCCGTATTATTAAACTGATTCTTCATCATTAATTGAACTAATTTAAAGCAAAATTAATTAACCCCCATCAGTACTTGTGTCTGAAGTCTGGACTTCACTAATTACGACGTTATGGATTTAGAATGAAATGTTAGCGAGATGTCAACCAAAATTTGACAACTTACTTATAGTAGAATACTCAAAATTTGGCAATGACTCCTTGGAAATATTTAAGCCTTGGTTTCCTGCACTCAACCTTGTTGCTGTTACTTAGGCCAGAAACTGCCCATATCACCACTATCCAGTTGACAATTGCCCGTTTCATTTGATATGGGTAGGAATTTTTCCTCTATAAGAAATTCAATGCTGCCGGAAAATGTATCCAAAAGGGGTCGGGAAAATGATTCTCATAGCGAAGTAAAATTTTAGTGAATTGTAATTTTTTACTATCTTCGTCTCAAAGTTATTGTCCTTTTTGCTGCACTATCAATAACACATAATACATGTCATTATGTCAATAATTATGAGACAAGAAGTATAAAAAAAAGTAAATGGAACATAATCTCTACAGTAAAAACTTATTTACACATTAGTTATCAATAATATCTGGATAGTTTTGTTATTATATAGATGCACGTTAAGTAACACTCTAAAAATGATATTTTTTTTTAACAAGATATAAATTTTAACACTTGAAATAATTCCAATGTCAACAAACTTAACTTTTAAAAAAGGAAATAAAATAAAAAAAGCATATTCCGAATCCAACTTAATTACTTAAGCATCCGAACAAAGGATTTGGAATCACACAATTGATTTTGTGATCAATTCCATAATCTTGCTGAACAAAGAGTTTACCATAAAATTAGAATATTAAGAATTCCAACTGAACGCCATTGCTATGCAGCCGAACACACCTTAAATGGAAACTGCCCTTAAAAACAAGGCTATAAACTAATAATCAAATGAAAATTGATGAAGACGCAAATTACGAAATTAAGAGGTGGGGCCTTTCGTTACCATAATTTTGGTATGAAATTTCCTCAATCAGCTATCTCGAAATTAGGTGAAACTGAAAATGTTGCTTGCGACCCAGCCCGTCGGTTTGATATTCAGTTTTTCAATCTTGACTTGGGTATTAGTATTTGTGTTTTTTTTTTTTTTTAAATAATATTTTAATTATTTCCAGAAGGCATGTCTCCTGACTCATGAGAGTTTTTCACTTGTGAACTACTAGTACAGTATAATGAACATTACCATCCATTTTTTGCTGTTTTGATTTATTGATTGTTCCTTTAACGAGTTACAGTTTTAAATACGAATTTAATTCAAAATTCGGTCTTGGATCGGAAGCAATGTTGACATATTTCAGCTCACAACGTGATGTTTAATTACTTTTTTTTTTCAACTGATATTTTCCGAGCCAAAAATTAAAAGTAATAGAATCTTGAGCTTAGAAATTTCAATACTTTATTAAAACCATTTTTATTTTATCTTACTTTATTGTATTTTGTACATTTTTCTTAAACTACTCCCTCCATTCCAAAATAAGTGTCCTTTTAGAATTTGCACATACTTTAAGAAACACGTAAATAGGGTAGCTAAATTACTAGACTATCCTCAACCAACCCCATTGAAATAATGCTCACTAATAATATTATTTCTTTTAAGGGTATATTTGAAAATTTTTGACCAAAAATGAATTGGAATCTGAAAACGACACTTATTTTGGAATTTCTCTATTTTGCCAAAACGACATTTATTTTCGAATGGAGGGAGAATTTTTTTTTTTTTTTAAAAAAGTGGAGAATTTATTATGCACCGACTCTTTAATTGTTTTATTTTTGCATCATTTTAGGACCATATATATTAACATGCCCAAAAGACAACCATGTAAAACACTGACTATGAGAGATGAGGTGCAATTTGGTAGAAAAAGCCAAAATGTCAAAACTAGCATTAAACCGAAAACATCATCACTTGTTTGTTGGCTGCTAATTACATCTCTACACTAATTAGTGTACTTACACTAATGTCTAATGACAATCCTCTATTCTTTTATATCCTCGAATTGTATTTATTCTACATTACTGGCGAGTCATTAAGTTAAATGTTTCGATTCAGCAAGATGAAAGAATCCTTATTAACATATAACATATAGAATGCCGAATGCGTGGAGGGAAAAAAAAATGTCACGATTCCGGAAAAAAAATAAATTATTTTTAAGATCGTATTATCTGTAATGTAGTAGTATATAATATATTAACACGCCAAAAGACATCTAATATAATATTCGATGTGAGGTTAGTTAGTTAGAGAAAAAGAGAGCTAAGAGTCAAATTGAAAGAAATTGAAAGTGTTTATCATCTAATAAGTTGTGCTACCATAATTCTTTTTCATTCTGTTTCATCCGGTTTTTAAGAGTTATTGAATCTATATTAAAATGGGATGAAAGTGAGTATTAATCAGGAAATACTACTATTAGAATAAGTTATTACAAGAGGGCATAGTAATTAAATTGACTCTTCATCATTAAATTAATTTAAAGCAAAACCGCCATCAGTACTTGTGTCTGAAGTCTGGACTTCACTAATTACGATTCTCCTGTTCTTCTTTCTCTCTCAAAGACTGAACTGTCTTTGTCTGTTTACATGTGCAAGAAGGAAAGATTTTTGGCATTAAATACTGTCCAAATTGAAAATTTTTAAGAACCGTCATTTCAATTTTTAAACGGCCCTTTATCTCATCTCATCTCAATTCTACGACCCACGTCTCTTCTTGTATGAACAGCGAGTATAATTTAATCGTCGATTTTAAAGGTTCCAAAAAAGAAAAGAAAAAAAAAAAAACCAGCAACGATTCATCCATCTTCTTCACGGTCGTCATGCTTTCTTTTTAATAATTATGGTACTAAAAAGAAGGGGGAAAAAAAAGCTTAATTCCACTATCTAACCTTTTTCTCC